CCCCAATGCTGGGGTGAGGAGCAGCCTGAAGTCCCCCATCAAGCTCCACTGGGTGAGGGGCACAGCCGGAAGGTGCCTGTCAAGACTGCCGGGCGGGGGGGCGTGGCCTCAGGTCCCCTGTCAAGTCCCACTGGGTGGGGGCACAGCCTCAGGTCCCTGCTGATTGTTTGTTAAGACTCATTATGGGGCCGAAACTGGTTTGGCTCAGTGGATAGAGCGTCGGCCTGGGGACTGAAAGGTCCCGGGTTCGATTCTGGTCAAGGGCATATACCTGGGTTGCGGGTACATCCCCAGTAGGAGATGTGCAGGAGGCAGCTGGTCGATGTTTCTCTCTCATCGATGTTTCTAACTCTCTATCTCTCTCCCTTCCTCTCTGTAAAAAATCAATAAAATATATTAAAAAAAAAAAAAGACTCATTATGGGAATCAGCCTCCACTGTGGGTGCAGCCATCTTGTGTTACAGCATGATGGTCAATTTGCATATTTGCTCTTTATTAAATAGAGGATGCTACATTTTCTTTTAAAAACACACACATATTTTTATTGATTTCAGAGAGTAAGGGAAAAGGAGAGATAGAAACATCAGTGATGAGAGAGAATCATTGATTGTCTGCCTCCCGCAGCCCTGCACTGGGGACTGAGCCCACAGCCTGGGTATGTGTCCAGACAGGGAATCAAACTGTGAACTTCTGGTTCACAGGTTAATTCTCAACAACTGAGCCACTCTGGTCAGGTCACATTTTCTTTATCCATTCAGTTGTTGATGAACCCTTAGAGTGTTTTCATACCCTGGCTATTGTAAATAATGCTGCAATGAATATAACAGTACATATATCTTTCTGAGTTAATGTTTTGTTTTATTTGGATAAATACCAAGAAGTGGAATTGCTTAATCATATGGTAGCTTTACTTTTAATTTTTGAGGAATCTTCATGTTTTTCATAGTGGCGACATCAATTTTGGTCTCATCATCAGTGCACTAGGGTTCCCTTTTCATCAGCATTTGTTATCTCTTGTACTGTTGATAATAGCCATGGAATATTTTAAATCTGATGAAGATTAATTTAACAATTGTTTTTCTTATATGTAGAGTGCATTTTATATGGTGTTAAGAAACTTTTATCTCCCCAAGATGAAAAATTTCTTCTGTTCTTTTAGCTTTCTTTTAGATATTAACTTTAACATTTAAGACTATGTTTCAGCCATAGCTGGTTTGGCTCAGTGGATAAAGTGTCAGCCTGGGGGCTGAAGGGTCCTGTGTTTGATTCTGGTCAAGGACACATGCCCAGGTTGCAGGCTCTCATCATTGATATTTCTATCTCTCTCTTTCTCTCCCTTCCTATTTGAAATTAATAAAAATATATTTTTAAAAAGACTATGATTCATCTCAATTTTATTTTTGAATATGGTGTGAATTGAGGATCAACATTCAATTTTCCCCTCAAAATATTGTTCAAACAAAAAATCAGAAAGGCAGAGAGAACAATAGTCTAGTTTCAGTTTTACAGGATTATAGTTAAGGTTGTCAGAGGAATAAAAATAAATTTATTTCAAATTTGAGATAATACTTCCCTTTGTATGACTGTAGAAGCTACTCTGTGTACTGTGGGAGGGAAAATAGACTAAGGAAGGAGAGTAGAAGAGAAAGAGATGAGTGGCCTGTGGAGAGGACAGTAATTACCCAGAAAAATTTTGTAGGGAGGGAGGGTGAAGCATCCACACATAAATCCATTTTGCACAGAGGCAAGTACTTCTTCTACCAGTATCCCAGAGTCCCATCTGTGTCCACAGACCATTAGCCACCATCCAATCAAGTACAGCCACCAAGAACTGGGCTCTGTCTGCACCTTTCAGTCAATTGTCCCAGGTCTCCCTTATTTGTAGCCAGCCCATGAGCAATAGGCTACTTGGCAGGAATGATGATCAATGTGTCCCATGGCTTTGTTCACTTCCATTATCTTTGCCCTAAGTCAGTGATGGCGAACCTTTTGAGCTCGGCGTGTCAGCATTTTGAAAAACCCTAACTTAACTGTGGTGCCGTGTCACATATAGAAATTTTTTGATATTTGCAACCATAGTAAAAACAAAGATTTATATTTTTGATATTATATATTTAAATGCCACTTAACAAAGAAAAATCAACCAAAAAAATGAGTTTGCGTGTCACCTCTGACACGCGTGTCATAGGTTCTCCATCACTGCCCTAATTTCACAATACCCCAACCCTATCCCCAAACCAAAGCAAACCCTTGAGCAATAGTATAGGACTGAGGGTGTTTGGAAGGGTGAGGTATGTGAGAGAGAGAGCAAGTCTATCCTCAACAGAACCTGCCTGCAATCTCCTCATTTTAAAATGCATCCCATTATACAATTTAATGTGTCTATAGATTCAATATGCCTGATTTCAAATATTGGATCCAGTTAAGAATCATGCTAATCACTCTTACTATAATTAAGCACAAATTGAATCACTTGGTCAAAAAAAACAAACATTGTCTTAACAGTTTATTTCTTCTTTACAAACTTTATGGTTCAACAAAATTGCAAGCATCAGCCTTAGCCAATTTGGCTCAGTGGATAGAGCACTGGCTCACAGACACATTGATGTTTCTCTGTCTGCCTGTCCCTCTTTCTTCCGCTTTCTCTAAAAATCAATGGTAAATATATCCTTGGGTGAGGATTAAGAAAAAAAAAATTGCAAACATCATGCTTCTAATTTTAGTTGAGAGGCAACTGTTTTGACGTTCAGAGGTTGCTCATTCAAGTTGTTCCCTCTGGGGGGTGGGGAGTGGAGGGAGCCAGTTAGGAAATTATGATCCTGGGATTTTTAGGATATGTTACATGACCCCTTGGACTGTAACTCATTTTCAAGTTTCTTGTTCATTTCGAGAAGCCGCTCAATTTCCCGATCAGATATCTAAAAGAAAAAGTGGAGAGTGAACTCACACAACTTAAAATGTTTCCCACATTTGCGAAATTATTTCCCCTGCCAAACTATGTTATGAGTTTTTCAAATTTATTCTTAACTATGTGCCTGTCTTAACTTCTCCATATCACTTTCTCCTATGCCAACCAATAATATTTCTGGGATTTATTTAGCTACAGAAATGTTCTTTCTTATAGTTTCTAAAATATTAGTGACCCAGTTCCTATTCTTGGCTTTCTTCACCCACATGCATCATAGTGTTCCTGGAAAATATATCATTTTTTCCTTCACCTCTGATCTAGGTGGTATGGATTCTCAAATATATATCTAAGAAGGTGAAAAAGATTAGTGAATTCCATTGGGAAGTTTCCTACATAATTCAGAATCATGGCAGATGATTGATCAGGGAACTTAATACAACTCTCCAAAACTTGGTGGCAAGGTAACAGAAATAATTTGAAGAGATCAGGGACTGTGCCAGTCCATATTGTATTTCTGGGAGGACATCTGGACTCAACAATGACTCATAGTAGAGCCTGGAGAACAGCAAGATACAGGCAGCTTAGGTATGTAATTACATGGTTAATTCTGTAGCTGGTCACAGAGTCTTACTTCATTAGGCTGCCTGCAGAGATAAAGTTACACCCGGTACTGAGGAAACAAAAATACCTTCAACTCCACTCAGTCAGATAGACAGACCAGCTATACTTCCACAAGGCAGGACTCAGACACGATGCTTATCTCTCATGATATTACAATTTTCTCATTTAAAAATAAGATTATAATAGTACTTACAACATAATATAACAATTAGATGACAGAATGACTGTAAAGTCATTGATCAGTGCCTGGTAATGAATAATTATTGTTTATTAGTGACCTAATAATAAAGGATTCCATGAGATTTTATCCTGAAAGTATTACCCTTTAGTAACCAAAGATGATAACAGGTAGAAGCAGTAAGAGAATGTAGTGTCTACTAGTGATTGGGCTGGAAAAGTGACATAATGCTCTACTTTCTAAGCAATGTTTTTGATTCTGTACAGTTGAAGTTAAAATGGTGATGACAGAATTGAATACCTGAAGTTTATGTTTTGCATTCCACGCTTCCTCTGCACTTACCTTCTCCACCTCCTCAAGTCTTTTCACATGTTCCTGATAATTCTTTTCTCTCTCTTCCCACTTCTGTTCATTCTTCTTTTGTACTTCCTCCAATATTTTTCTTGTAGTTGCTTCAGATTCAGCCTTTATACGTTGCACTGACAAAGAAAAATAAGCAGAGAAACATGAGGATGAAATAGTTATGGCTTATTTTGCCTTTCACCCCATCATTTTTGTTTTATTCTTATTTCAGAGAGAAAACCTCTTGTGATAGCTTTTGCACTGAGGAAGCAAAAGAAAGCTGTAAACAACAGTTAAAAAGCCTCTTGAATTATGAAGTATACTTGCTATTATTTGCACGACAGTGATGATTTCCAGTGCATTAATGTTGTTGACAACATTTCAAGGGTTTCCCATCTATCTGGAATTTTATTTTTTTGAACAGCTTTACTGATGTATAATGGTAACACTATTTACTGCCAAATGCATTTTTATCTATCTATGATACTTGTGTACACCTGATAAACCACCACAATCAAGTTAGGAACATACCTATGACTGAAACATCTCCTCATGCCCTTGGTTCTCCTCCTGAACATAAAACCTCATCCCCATCATCAGGCAAAACCACTGGCCAGTTTCTGTCACTAGAGAATAGTTTGCTTTTTCTGGAATTTTACATAAATGGAATCATATACTATGTAGACTTTTTGTCTGCCTTCTTTCACTCAGCATATTTATTTTTGTAACATTGTTTTATGTATCAATAGTTTATTCCATCTTATTGCTCAGTAGTATTTTTGGTAAGGATATGTTAAATTTTGTTCTGCACCTGTTGATGGACATTGGCTAGTTGCCAGTTGTTGGCTATTACCAAGAAAGCAGTTATGATCATTTTCAAACAAGGTATTGTATGTACATAAACTTTCAACTTTACTGAGGATGTATCTAGGAACAAATGATTAGATGGCATGGTATTTGTTAAACTTTTTAAGAAACTGACAAACTCTTTTCCAGAGCAATTTACCATTTACATTCCCACAGCAGGGTATATGGGTTCCAGTTGCTCCACATTCCCACCAACACTTGAGATATTTAGTCCTTTTAATTTTAGCAATTCTAGTAGTGCACAGTGGTATCTCATTGTGGCTTGAATTTCCACTTATTAAATAAGTAATGATGTTAATAACTAATGATGCTGTTTAATGTGCTTATTGCCATCCAAATATACGTTTTTGATGAAATATCTGTTCAAATTATATAATTTTTTCCTCATACTTTGGATGTTTGCTTTTTCAATTAGTGAGCTATTTTCTGAATTTTAAGAGTTCTTTAAATATTTTGGATACAAGTACTTTATCTGATGTGTGATTTGAAAATAGCTACTTCCAATATGTGTCTGGCCTTTTCATTCAATGAAAAATCTGCTGCTTCAAAGAGCAGAGTTCTTAATTTTGAAGTACAATTTATTATTTTTATATTCAGGGTGTTTTTAGCTGTTCTCACCTTCAATCTCATGTTGCATCTCTTCCTCCTGGTGTTTCCTCAATAACTCTTCAACCTAGTGATGCAGCAGAAGTTAGAATTATGAAATAAAGACTATGAGTTTAAGCAAAACCCAGCAATACATGCATGAATTCAATTTAGTTTTATCACCCAAATAACAATCATTGTAAAATTCAAATAGCTCTTTGATGTTTTTGTCCAGTATTTCCAAACCTTTGGTCCTGATAGTAAGAGTTTGTACTTATGTGCCCTTAGCAGGATCCGACTGGGAGTGGAGAGGGGTTGGTGCTGGGTCAGGCCTGACAACTATGCCAGGAATGTGTTTCAGTCCTAGAAATGTTCTTTGGGAAGGATGGAGGTTTAGTTCTATTTCTCAATTCCTCTGAAGTAGGATGGCTACACACATGTTATCCATAATGGGAACTGCTGACACTCGAGAACACTGGCAAGCAAACTCCAGGTAGGGACAAAAAATGCATTTACTCTGGACATGTAGAAAGAAGCAGGCTGATGTGGAAACTAATGCAGCACATTTTAGAATTTACAGCATCCCATATTTCATATCATGTGTAATCTGAGACTTAGAGACCAGTTAGCACTGTATCAGGTGTTTTTGATGGGTGTACCAAACATCCTAAGAACTGAAGTCATAGTCACTTGGGGGCACAAGGAAACTCTATAATAACCACAAACAGCAGTTCGGAAGCCTGGAGCATGTTATTTGACCTCCCAAAACTCTAATACCACAAAAGGTGCTTAGTCTTAAAGACTTAGGGCTTTAGAATGATTCAATTAACTCGACACTTCACAGAATCATTTGTAACTTTAGTTAAAACTTTTGCTCTTCCTTTCATGAGAAACCATGTTATTTACCTTTAGACTTTGCCCACCTCACGCCCAGACTTACACTCTTCATGTACTCCGCCATTTTTTCCCGGTTTTTCTGTTCATTTTCTTTTTCTATCTTCATTTTGTCCTTCAGTAGGGCTATGTTTTTCTTGAAGCTTCTCTCTTGAGCCTCCATTTTTTGCTGTGTTTCATTCAGTGTTTGCCTTAGAAGCTCCTGTTCCCTTTCCACTGCCTCTGTCTTGGCCTGCTCAGCTGTTCCACAGTGGTTTTACAGAGAGAAGAAAATAACAAGTATACCTAGCTGCACCCTCCAAAGGTTAAGCCTAAAATGGTTTTATAATGGCAGAGAGGAATCTATGAATATTCTTACTAACAATACCAGCAAAACATGTTTCAGAATGTGATGGAAAGGCACTGATTGCCTGAGGGAGCAATTAAAACTCTCCTGGTTATTTTTAGATTTAGCCTAGTTATTCTAATGCTTTTGTGGAAACACCTTGTTTCAAGAAGGATTTGCTCTCACACATTGAGGGGCACTGCAGAAACCCCCTGCCCACTGTGATCACAGCCCTGCCCTGTACCTGCTAGAGCCTTCTCCCCAGCAGTGAGGGCCTTGTCAGCCTGCAGGATGGATTCCTTTGTTGCAGCCTGTAACTGCTTGAAGTTCTGGAGGACCTCCATTGCCTGAGGAAATAAGGAGCACAGACACTTCTTGTTGGGAAGTTATTGTTCAACAAAACTGAAAAATTGACCCTGTAAAGTGTTCATCTTCCTTAGGATCCCACAATGGTTCCCTTCATTCCATGGCCACAGTAAGAAATCCAATCACTTTAGTTAGAATAAAACTCTTTTTGGCAACCTCTTTCCCAGCTCTACAGTCCTGACCTAATGATGTCTGCCACCACCCAACTCAGGTTATAGACGACCAGGTTTATGTGCAGTTCTACAAACACTCCTCTTCAATTGTTCCCAGTATTTGCACATTTTTTTTCTTCTGACTGGATGCTCATCTACCCTTTCTTCACTCATATCATCTATTGATACTTCAACTTGTAGCTTCTACCACCTCTTCCAGGAAGCTTTGCTAAACTTCCTTCTGAGATTTGACTGGATGCTACGTACATATACCTACCCTGCCATCTCTACCACTTACTGGCTGTGTGTTCTTAGGTCACTTATTAGCTTCTCAGTGCATATCCTTTCTTAATTGTATGATAGGGATGGCAGTAGTACCTAAAATCATACTATTCTGACGATTGAATTGATTGATAATCAAAACAGAGCACCTAAGAATATACTTGGTTTAAAAAGTGTGTGCTCAATATATACTTGCCATCATCAGCAGCATTTTTATCACTATTAGTGTATTCCTGTGTGATAGCCATTATCCCCCACATCCAATTGACTATTTATATTTCCTTTTTAGGTAATATCATAAGCTACTTGAGAATATTGTTTTTTAAATTATGTGTCTGTTATACACAGTGCAAAACTATTATATTGTTTCCTAAAGAAAGGCATGTTCTCTTTTATCTACATTCCTGAAAATAAATATTATATATGGGAAAACGACTTTTTATTTATTTAGGTATTTAATTAATTGTGGATATAGAAGATAAAGATGTACAGATATCACCATGCTTTGCTCTCTCTTCACAAATGGCCCTGTGATCTTAGATTTTCAAAAGGATACACAAACACTCTGTGACCTCCTCTGCTGGTCTTCCCCCCTCTTTTTATTGCTCACCTTCACTCCTTTCCTGGGCACCATGTTATAGGACTGTTCAAGTTTTTCTATTGCTTCTAAGTAGAGCTTGTATCCATTAGGCACAGAGAACATTCCTCTTGAAATACTTTCCATCAGGGATTCTGAAAGCTGCTTAAGCTGAGCCCGGCAATATTTTCCAGATGCATCTTCATTCTGCAGCAAGAAATACTCCTTCTTTTTCTCTATGATGCCCTGCCAGGGAATATTGAGAAGTACAAAGAAAAGAGGCTCTTAAAAGAGAAGACCCCACTCTGATCCTCTTGGAAGAAACAGGTGGTCTGGAGCATGGAATCATAGAGCAGCATCAAGAAACTAATTTAGTCTCAGTTAAGACCAATTCTTTGGGTCACCTGTGGGAATTTCCTTAATTCTCTTGCGTTCAGGCTGAAAATTTATGAAATGATGAGGAGGTTTGTAGACACAAACTCCATGGTTCCTTTATTTTTTAAATTGAGTTATAATTGAGATATTACATTATATTAATTTCAGATGTACAACATAATGATTTGATGTTTGCATACATTGCAAAATGATCACCCCAGTGTCTAGTTATTATATGTCACCTTATGTAGTAAAAAAATTATTTTTCTTTTCACGAGAAGTTTTAAGTTAGACTCTGTTAGCCAATTTCAAATATGCAATCCAGTATTATCAACGGTTTCTTTATCAGTCATAGTATTAACAGAGGTCCATCCATTGACAATGAGCAATGGAAAGTTCAATATGACTGGAAGTAGTCTTTCCTCTGCAAATTTGGATTGCTATAAGTAAAAATACATACACATTAAATAAACTGTACAGTAATGAAGTAAGTGGTCACTGAACAGAGTTTTGAACTCCTCATGAATTATTTCAATGAGGGTTTAATTGTGCAAAATTATAGGGACAGTAATTTTTTTGTTATACTTGAAAAATTACAATCCTGTTGGTTTTCTTCTTATGAAGTGAGAGGTTTTCGTTGTTTTTTGTTTTTTTTTTTTTTTTTTGTTAATCATCACCCAAGGATATTTTCCCATTGATTTTTTAAAAAGAGAGTGGAAGGAGGGAGAAGAGACAGAGAGAAACATCAATGTTAGAAAGATACATTGATTGGGAATCAAACCTGGGACCCTTCAGTCCATGGACGAATGCTCTATCCACTGAGCCAGACTGACTAGGGTGGGAAGTGAGAGTTTTGTAACTTATAGGATGGTCAATGAAAAATTCAAAGACAAGATGAATGTGCTTATGTTAAATAGAATTATGTTGTCCTCAAGAGTTCTCTATCCTGGTTTCCATACACTACAGTCCCTAGGGCTGTGAATATGCTGAATATTGATCCATGATTAGATTATTATATGGCACAGGTTGACATTAAGAAGTGGAGATTACTCAAGTGTGCACACCTAAATACATCAGCTCTTTAAAAGAAGTTTTCTCCAGTTGGTGGCAGAGAGATAGTCAAAGATATTAGAAACAAGATAAGGATACAATGCATCATTGCTGCTTTGAATATGTACAAGCAGTTCCCATGAGTCTCCTTATGATATGTTAGTTTCAGGTGTATAACATTTCCATCTTGTTTTCAGCTTTTGATACACAGAGCAGAGCACCCATACATCTTGTGACAGAAACTCAACTGAAGAATTGTGAACTAATAAATGTGTATTTTTGCCATAACCTGTTTGGCTCAGTGGATTGAGCGTTGGCCTTCGGACTGAAAGGTCCAAGGTTCGATTCCAGTCAAGGGCATGTACCTTGGTTGCGGGCACATCCCCAGTGGGAGGTGTGCGGGAGGTGGCTGATAGATGTTTCTCATCGATGTTTCTAACTCTCTATCTCTCTCTCTTCCCTCTCTGTAATAAATCAATAAAATATATTTTTAAAAATGTGTGTTTTTTGCAAACTGCTAATAAGCACACATTAATTTGTTTTGCCATAATAGAAATAAGGAGCCAATTGTTCAGAAAAAGAATGAATGTTAGTCTATAGACCATTATAGACTACAGTCAATCACATGAATTTAAGCTCTTTTACAATGGAAAATACATGAACTATGGGTCAAAAAAGGACTATCTGGCATCAATCCAGAAGAACAGGAATTAGGAAGGATATATGTTAAGGCATATTACCATAAGTTTTTCCTGGAACCCCTGCTTTTCATCCATAATGGAGCACTCCATGAAGATCTCAAGGGCTTCCTTCTCACAAACTGCATGCAGGTCCAGCAGCTCCTGCAGCGTGTCTGTGGGGAAGTTCACTCTCTGGGCCATCTGCTCACTGTAGTGGTCAGCTGCCTTCTGCATGGCTGCTGAGTTTTCACGCTCAGCCAGAGTTGTCACTGCATTTTCCAAACAAGGCACTGCTCCACCATTGATGGCATCCACATAGGCCTTTCCCAGAATCCCTAGCCCTGAATGATACATGATATTCAGGAAATGGACA